CTTGGTTAAATCTGAGTTGTGAGGATGGGGAGCTATTCAGGGAAGCGCTGAAGTCAGTCCGGCTGTTACGGTTTTTGGAGGTCCTGTGGGTGCCCCTAGTGTCTGTGGCTTGGGTGCCTCCCTCTCTTTTTTTAGCGGGGGAGGCTACTCTCTCGTTGAAGGATGAGGTTCACTGTCTGGGCATACTCTTGGACCCAGCGCTAGCAGTGGAATCTCAGGTAGCATCTGTGGTCCATGCAGCCTTTCTCCACCTGAGGTATATCGTCCAGTTGTGTCTCTACCTTGACACCGGGTCTCTCGCCATGCTAGTCCATGCGTTGGTAGTCTCTATTTATTTTATTTATTTATTTATTCGATTTGTATCCCGCCTATCTAGTTGGTTAGGACCACTCTAGGCGGCTTACAACCAAAAAAATACCACAATGTAGATAAAAACAATATCATATAAAGAAAAGCTTTCAGCTTTCAACAACTAGAACAGACACAAGGGGAAAGGAGAGGGAGGAAAGATCAGGAATTGATTGAGGGGAAGGCCTGCCGAAACATCAGTGTTTTTAGTTGATTTTTGAAAATACCCAGCGAGGGAGCCGCGCGAATCTTTCCGCCAAGTATCGAGGCCCTAAACCCTAAACTAGAGATTAGACTGCTGTAAGTACTCTACGCGGGGCTGCCCATGAGGCTACTACAGAAACTTCAAACAGGTCTAGAACAGGGCGGCCAAATTATTGAGTGGAGTAAATAAATACCACCAGATTTCCCCCAATCTGGCTGCCTTGCTTTGGTCACCTGTTTGTTTCCATGCCAGCTTCAAGGTGATGACCCTGACATGTACATGGTTTGGAACTTTGATACCTGGCAGAACACCACCACCTTCCAGTGAGATTTTTCCCAAGCCACTCAATCATCCCAATCAGCCGAGTGGTTGAGATCACTGATCCTGAGAGAGGCCTGGAGAGAGAAGACCAAGAGCAGGGCCTTCTCCATGGTGGCACCTCACCTGTGGAATAAACTCCCACCTGAGATTCCCCTTCATTGAGGATGTTTAAGAAACTGCTTAAAGCATGGTTTTTCAAACAGGCCTTTCCAGATATTGCACCATTGCAGTGCAGAGGTTCTTTCAGCCTTTAAACTACCAACTCCGCCATCTTGTTTGTTATGATTCAAGATTACATTAATTAATTATTTTTATGTTGCTTTTTTTAGTTAACTTAGTGATGCGTTTATTTCATTTTTGTATTGTGGTTATCTTTCCTGGCTATTATTTGTTTGTTTGTTTGTTTATTTATTTAGTTAGTTAGTTAGTATTTATTGTCATTGTAAGTATATACACAGTACTGTATACCCATACAATGAAATTCACAGACATCCAGAGACCAGACACGTGCACACACATAAAATTCAAAGACACTCCCCACCCACTAAAAAAATCCCCAACACTCCCTACCCACTAAAAGTCCCCCATTAAAAATACAAACATCTACACCACAGGCCAAGTAACACAGTCCAACTAATTATTCACTACTGGTGGTCTTTAAGCTCATTATTAAGTGCAATTATACCTCTGGGATAAAAACTATTCAGAAAACGCGTGGTCCGAGTCTTAATTGTTCTATATCTTCTGCCAGACGGCAACAGTTCAAAAAAGTTATAAGCAGGATGGGAAGAGTCTCTCAGGATGCTGTGTGACTTCCTCAGACAGCGGGATGTGAAGATGTCATCCAGGGTTGGTAGCTGGAGCCCGATGATATTCTGGGCAATTTTAATGGTTCTCTGTAGAGCTTTTTTGTGGTTTATTATTCATGTGAACCTCCCAGAGTTGGCCTTAGTAGCCAGATGGGAGTATGTAAATTTAATTCAGTATAAGAGGCAATAAAAAAAAATCTACAATACATTCTAAAAATATCCTGAGGAAAAGAATTCATAATGGAGATTTTAAAACTCTCTGACATGTAGGAGTTTGTAGTGAGGCTTTAATGAGGGAAAAGCCAATTTGACGCTGTCAGCAGAAAAAATAGTTTAAAATACAAGTATCATATCACATGATCAAATGTAGTTTTGGAGCTTCACTTGACATGGTTATGACAACCCCCGTAACCCATATGTCATAATAATCTGTTCTTAAAATGACTTATCACTCAAAGCTGGATTGCTATCATTTGAAAAACTGCCAAAGGGCAAAACTAAAATTGGTGTGAGAAATCATTGCACGAAGATTTATACGACTGGTTTGCATTAATGGCAATAATCAATTCCACACTGACAACAGACTTAAAGCTACACAGTGCACACTATTTAATACTAGTTGTTTACAATTGCATCACAAGAACAAACGTGCTAGAAAGTAGGTAATAACATTTATAACCCAATTAATCTGATTCTACTAGCAGAACACCTTCATTCCCCCTTCCCATTACCTTACTGCTGTACTTTCTCTCCATTCCTTTTCTTCTCACACTTCCCCCTTTTCCTCCCACTAGTCTTTGAGGGAAACTACACAGGCATTTTCTCACTGTTTGGTCCACTCTGAGGACAGTCTGTTTTGCTCCTTTTGCTGGCAATCAGACAATGTAATTGCCAGCATGAACCAGCCCATCATCAAAGCATTCCTACCCATATCTTTCTGGCTCCCTGTCGGAGGGCTCTTTGTTAGATACAGGTAAGATTGCTTTATTTTGGTTCATTTCCAGCATTTTTTTAAAGGATTTTTTGCTCCTTTTTACAAAATAAAATAAAATAAAATAACAAATAGGTGGGGAGATGGACCCTGGAGACTTCCTGGGCTGCCTATTTTTTGAGGTGGGTTCAACAAAAACACTTCCCATTTTTAGACCTCCCCAACCGAACCCAGTCCTTGTTAATTGAAATGGATTCATTAATCGGGCACCCAGGCCTGTGAACTGAGCAGTATTTGAAAGGTGGGCTGGAGAGCTCCGTAAGCGGCGTCCATGGCTGCGCAACCCCTCACGGTGACTCCTAAGAAAAGAACCAGCCTGTGTGTCCTTAGGCCCACTGGCCGATGGTCCCAGAGCGCCCCCTGGAGGAAGGGCTAGTCAGCCACCATTGAGCATCCAGTGCCTAGAAAACCCTGGGAAGGGCCACCTAAGCTGGAAATGACTCCATGCCATGCCATGATTATTAGTACTGTAGTAGTATTATTACTGACGGGGGTGCCATTTTGTTCCGTAGGTGCAAATCAAATGCATGTGGTGGCAGGAGGAAGAAGAGACCAAGAAACGAGTGTGATCTCAGAGCCGCCTTTCCCAACTTCACTGGGGACTGCAAAGTAAGTCAGGCTGAAAAGAAGGTTCCGGAATGTTTCGATCTGATGGTCTTCATCTGACCTCTGAGACCCTCCTAGGCAAGAAGACCTGAGGATGTTTCCCCCCCCCAGCACTTGCTTCTAAATTGGGATACATCCAGCTGCCCAGGGTTACAATACATGCATGATTGTAGAAATGACGTTATGATTATCACTTCTGCATGTGGTTGTTTTATACAGTGGTGCCTCGCTTGACGACGTTAATTCGTTCCAGCGAAATCGCTGTAGAGCGAAAACGTCGTAAAATGAAATAAAAAAACCCATTGAAACGCATTGAAAACCGTTCAATACGTTCCAGTGGGCTGAATACCTGCTCGTCCAGCGAAGATCCTCCATACATTTTCGGTGCCTGCGGGGCACAACTGTACTCCCCTTTTCCTTTATGACTTCCCTGCTCCTGGTTTTATTTTATTTGAATTGAGCCATAAGCTTCCTAAAAATGAGCCAGGATGCAATAAAGATAGGGTAGATTCGATTTAAATCCAATTGATTTATATCAGTTTAATGGGCTTAATCCACAATTAAAACATTTTAAAAATGAATTTTTATGGTTTAAAGTTTAATTTTTTAAAGAAAGAAATTGATTTAATTTAATTATGATTTTTTTAAAAATTATGATTTAAATCAATTTCATTTTTAAAAAAAAAACATTGATTTTTAGCCACCTTGAATGAAAATGTCTCATAATTACCTTATTTTAAAGCCTATTAATGAAAGATGGCACCAGTTACAGCATTCCAGGAAACCCCACTGGCAGTGTATCAGGCTCCGGATTTCCTTCAGATCCTGGAGTGAGAAGAACCTGGCGCGAGGAAATTACACTGGAGGAGCGCCACCACTTAGTACAGAAGTTGTAAGTATAGTTCAAGGATGCGGACCCTGCCCATTGGGATCAGGTGTGTCTGTGGCATGCATCACAGTGTGTGGGCTCTTGAGTTTTGAAGGTTGGGGCTTCGAGCATACAGTACGATCCTTTATTCTCCGGATCAATATCCACTGATTCCCTTATCCACGGTCTGAAAATATTAAAAATATTGAAAGATCCCCAAAAAAGTAAGTATAGTTCAAGGATGCGGACCCTGCCCATTGGGATCAGGTGTGTCTGTGGCATGCATCACAGTGTGTGGGCTCTTGAGTTTTGAAGGTTGGGGCTTCGAGCATACAGTACGATCCTTTATTCTCCGGATCAATATCCACTGATTCCCTTATCCACGGTCTGAAAATATTAAAAATATTGAAAGATCCCCAAAATACTGTATATATATTTAATGATGAAGTTCCCAGAACTGGCCAGAAGAGGGAGCCAAAGGCCATGCTGTGTATACAGTAGTTTTCTATTAAAATAGTGTTTGCTATAATCCACATTTTTCAGCATCCACGGGGCGGGGGACTAGAAACCAATCCCCTGAGGATACTGGGTCATACTATATTATGAAAGGCTGAAGGGAGATGAAGTGTGCGGTCAAGGATTCTGATGCTTGAGCCATACAGGACTTTATAGACCTCCTCTGAAAAAAAATCAGAAGCCTGCATTCATCACAGTTGGCATTTCTCAGAGTTCAGGGTTAATCACAGAACAAAATCAAACAATCTCAGACAATCCTATCAACATTCATCTGAGTATCAAAGTATAAGTCATCTTATTGTTCAGTAATTACAGGCAATAAAGGGAGATGAAGTGGTACATGCTTTTATTTCTGTACGTTGCTTCCGTGTTCCAGGTTCGCAAAATCAGTTCAAAAAGTAACAGGTCTTGAACACATTCTTACAGCTACTCTAGGTGCAAACGTTTAAAAATAAATTGCTATCCGAAACTCTTACAGCTGTGAAAAGTTTCAAGGAAGAAACGATCTAGAAACAACTTCAGTTGTAGTCAGAAATTAAATCATATTTAAATATATAAAAGAAGTTATTTTTGTGTAATTTCGAGGGTTCTGCAAGTAGAAATCTAGCATGCTTTCACTATGCTAATAAGACTCTTGTTATAAGAGAAATTTTACAGAGTTTGGAGGAATAAAAGTAGGTAGCATCAAAGATCTAGACTCCCAGAAACTCAGAAAGCTAGAACACTCTAATTTTAAAAGCATGCAAATTATAAAACCTACATTCTTTCTCGATGTTTGGTTATCCTGTGCAAAAACAAGCTTAACTAGTGGGACTGTTAAAATACAGTGACCTTGCTCGGCTGGAAAGCTAGTTAATTTTGAAATGATTATAGTAAACTCTTGTTCAGGCCTCCATTTTGAAAGCTCTTTCATTTGCAGGGCTACTTCTTTCATTCCTCCCAGAATTCTCTTAACACTCTATTCATACATAATGTCACATCTTGACGGACGTAGGAATTGCTTCGTTGTTTGCACTAAAGCTGGGGGTGGGCAAATGGTGGTCCCCTGCCCCCACCCACCCACTCCTTTCCAGGTCCCAATCTCTCTCTCCCAGTTCATAGGGGCTGGTGGGGGAAATGTCTCACATACCCTCTACATTCCAGTGTTGTTATTACTTTTTTCTCCCTCCATTTTTCCCCAAAGCCTGTTCTATAATTTTAATTATAGGGTTATATTCCTAAGGGAATACCAGTCTTGGGGGTTTCTTCGAGGCAGGATTTTTAACAGTTCTTTTGCA